CCCAGACAAGCGGGATCCTCTGTGCCTACCGACAGAATGGTTGGAGGTCTCCCGCGCTGGCCGAGATAAGCTGTAGCAGCCGCTACATCCATTTCTGTGGGGCACTGGAAGCTCTTGTCTCCGCCTGGGAGTAGTGCCTTGGTTTGCATGTAATTTTGTTTAAATTTCCCCCCGCACACACTTTTATGTGGAGGGGAAGGTGGGTAATGATTAGAAAGTCACCAGGTTGTTACTGGTCTCGTGTGCTGAATTCCTAGTAGTACTTATTTTCCGCTTCCATCTGGTCTAAAGGTGGTGCTTAAGGCACGTTGCTCTTAGCAACCGTCTTCAGGAATGCTTGTTTCTTTGGACATGGCTAAACGGGTCCGTATATCATTGCGGGCTTTATTTTGTATTCAGTCTGATCCATGATCATGGCCGTGAAATCAGTGCTAGGGCTGCCTGTAATCTGATACTGTCCGGCTGTCTGTCCTTCCACGAACCGGGATTCATAACCGGTGCCGAGGATCGGTCTCTAGGAGTCTGAATTACTTTCAAGGGTAGCTATGTAAACAAACATCTTCCCGGCCACACCGTTAGCAAGAGGTGAGCTTTCCTCCTTTAGATTAGATTCTCTCTGAATTGTTAGTCGAGTGTACCTATAGAGTACCCTGGAGAGCCGCGTTTTGATAATGATTAGAATAATAAATAATCCCGAGACTGAAGGGTGGTGCAGCGGGACTCCGGCGCCCGGTGACATGGTCGCGCATGCATGTATTTTTCTAGGCTAACTTCCCTTCCCAACTGCCTCCTGGTCCCACAGTCGGTTAACGGGTCGTGCTCACTCCATTGTTTGTAGAAGCAAGTGTGAGTCCGCTTCTGAAACACGGCATGCTTTTTCTTGTCTTTCCAAAGAATTGTCGCCAACCCATCCCCGAGCCTTAGAAGTAGGTAGGGAGCGGTTGGTTAGTTTATTTTAGTATGGAAAATGTTAGACCTAAGACAGGGCGAGGAAGACTTTTGCCCTGCTCAGCCGAGCCTGTTGCACATCTCTGCTACACGGAGTGTGGATTTAGCCCAGTCCAGGTGTGGAGTGACTCCGTCTCTGACCGCGAGGGAATTCCCGCTCCTTCCCCAGAGGCTGACATCTCTGCCTCTGTGTAGGGCATGGCGGGGAGGAGGGAAGGAGCAGCGAGCGAGCGGTGCAAAAGCTTTGGTTATTTCTGAGAGGGGAATTCCCCGCCGCCCCCTCCGGGTTCCTGTGCTATCTGTCCCTTCGGGATGTCCTTGCGACCAGGAGGACGGGATGCGGTGCCTTCCCGTGGAGTCCTTCCCGAGGAGAAGCGAGAGCTGAGGAGGTTCCCTCCAGAAGGCAGCCTGCCAGCCCCCGCTCTTCTTCCTCAGCCAGCAGCGCTATGGCAACAGGGGAGAGCTTGAAGCTTGCCAGAGCTCCAGCCCCCTCATTCCTCCTGTGCAAATTAACCACCATGGATTCGCATTGTCCTTCCCACGGCTTCTCTCATTGTTGGGACTAGCCAGCATGTCCTTTCTCTCTTTCTTTCCCGCTCTCAAGCTACCTTTTAGCAACCACACGGGGAAGTCGAGCCGCCTGGGTTATCTGTCAAATGCGGGGGGTTATTTTTGCCTGCGCCTTATGGAGCAAACACGGGGAGAGGCTGATGGGATGGCATAATTCCCTCCCCAGCGGCACTCACTCAGGCATCTTGACGCCCGCCTGCTGCTGGAGTAGGGCAAGGCGGTATTTGGGCATCACACCAGGCGCCCTTCCTAAATGACGCCTTGCTTCATGGGGCGTGCGGCCAAGCTCCCTCCCTTGCCCTTTCTGAATAGCTTCCCATAAGCAAGCCTAGGGAACGCTGAGGGTGAGGCTTGTGCCCACGGGTTTGAAACTCGAGGGTTTCAAACGGGAACAGTCCTAAACCCTTGCTGCGGACAAAAGGACAGGTCCCGGCTTGACGAGGGAGAAAAGCAGCAGCTTAGTATTTGTCTCTCCGCTGTGCTAAGTGTGATGGAAACCTTTTCCTTATCGCTTGGCACCGTACAAAAGCCAAAACACGCGACCGCCAGCAGATCCGTTCCGTTCTCGGGGACCACGTTGCGCAGCTTCCCGATTCACCGCCCCTGTGTAAGAGCAGGCCCGGGGCAGCGGCTCCCCAGAAACACCAGGTAGCTGGGCAGAGCGGCAG